GGGGACAGGGCAGCCCCCCACTGGGGCCGCTCCCCGCAGCCTGCTGACCGGCCCGGTGTGACCGCAGAGCTCTGACCTGGAGGACGGCTCGTGCAGGAGCTCCCAGGAGGTGCGTCCAGGCACCTGGACACAGCGCCCGCCCCCGCCTGGGAGGCGGACACTCCCCACCGCCGGCGCCCCGGCCTGCCCCGAGTTGGGGCCTGTCTGCTGTGCCCCCAGGCCGCCCAGGCCCCTGAGAAACGTGGGCAGTGGTGCCGGTGGGAGTTGCCCGGCCAGGGGGTGGGCAGTGTGGCCCAGCCCCCCGCTGGGGGTGGTCTGACCGCCCCCCGCCCTCGTCTCTTCGAAGCTCATGCCCGCCCGGGACCTGGAGGAGGATGGCCAGCTCTCCGACAAGGGTGAGGAGGGGGTGGCCACTTTGGGCACCTGTGTGGGTGGGGGGGTGCACCCCGTCCACCCACCTTCACAGCCCCACTTTAGACAGAGAAACAGACTCAGAAGGATAGGAGACCCCGAGCTCCCCTTGCCGGGGTGCCAGCTCTCAGTCCTCCACTCTGGGCTGAGCCTAGCACCCTATCCCCACCAGGCGCTCAGGAGCTGAGCGCAGGCGGCAGGGGGCCCCGCTAGGGAGGGCCCAGAGCAAGGGGGGCAGGAGGGGCCGGCTGAGGTGGGCCCGGAGCGCCCTCTGCTGGTGCGAGGGGGGAGGCGGGGGAGGGGGGCTGCAGGGCCGGGGACACCCAGACCTCCTGGGGACCAGGCCTGGCTAAAGGGAGCCAGGGAGAAGTGGGGGGCTGTGCCGCACTGCCCAGACCGATGGGAGGCCTCCCCCTGCGGGCAGGTGCACCCGGAGCCCCCCGGCCGGGCAAGAGGCGGCCCCTGTGTTCCCAGCCCGGCCTGGGGCCCCGGACCGGTCCCAGACCCTGCCGCCTGCCTCTGCGCGGGGTGGGCTCAGAGGGCGGGGCGGGGCGGGCCCAGGCGCCCCTGAACAGCGGGTGGGCGGCGTCTCCACCGGGGTCCTCGTGGCCACGTGCCAGGGACGATGGGGAGGCCACGCCAGCTTGACTGCCCCCCCCCGCAGGCACCCCCGCTGGCAGAGAGAGCCCGGAGCAGCCCTTTGGGGCTCTGCAGAAGGAGCGGCTCTCGCTGACCACCACCGTGAGTCTCGATGCCCGGCGGCCCCCGGGCCCTGGCCGGCCGTGAGCGCCGCTTGCAGGCCAGGGGTGGGCACAGGGCCGTGGCTCACAGGCCCAGGGGTGCAGTGCCTGGATCCCCCTTGCTTGGACAAAGCAGTGGGGGAAGAGGGCCGGCCATGGGGACTGGGCTGCCCGCCGGGCCAGCGCCCGCGGGGGTTACGGCGTGGCCCACTGTAGTGGAAGGGACTGGGCTGGGCCCTCGGGGCTGCAGCCCGGCTGAGCGGGGCGCCCCTCCTCCAGCACACGGGCCGGGCCGGCGGGGAGCCCCCGGAGAAGGAGCGGCGGCGCCTCAAGGAGAGCTTCGAGAACTACCGCAGGTGGGCCGGCGGGCGGCGGCGGGGAGGGCGGGGGGGGGGGAGGGAGGGAGCGAGGGGGCCGCTGGCCGCCCGCCTCAGTCAGACGCGGCTCCACTCCGGCCTCCGAGAGAAAACAGTCCCCAGCGCCACCTCCACGGCCGCTGCTACCGCTACTGAGCCAACAAAGGGGCGTGCGTCACCGCGTCGCGCTGCGTCGTCGCGTCACTCCTCGGGGCGTCAGCGCGCCCCGCCCCGCCGCCCCTGCGTGGAGTGCGGGGAGACCCCACCGTTCTATCGGCCGGCCCCGGGGAGCGGAGCTCCGCTAACCTCGGTGTTTCGGTTCCGGCCGCGGTCGCTCCGAGGGTCGGGCGGAGACCAGGGGACCCTGTTTCTGAGGAGGTCGCCGCGGGCTCGTCTACGAGAAAGGAGCCCCCCCGAACCCACCAGGTGGTGGTTTGAGCCGCAGGCTATGGGCTCCGGTCCCTGGTAGCCTGCGGGTGGGGAAGGCGGCCTCCCTTCCGGGCCCTAGAGACTTCCCGCGCGCCCTACAGTAGTGCCGGGAAGTCCTCTGCTGTGGAGCTAAAACTCCTGTAGCCCGGCTTATTAAATAGAAATCTGTTTTGGGGGGGAACCTCTACACTGTGTCACAGGTGAGCCTTATTTTGAGGCGTTATCTTGATTCTGTACATTGCTGCCGACGTGCCCTGGGTTTTAAATTTCTCCAGTGACGTCATTTTTGAAAGCGTTTCCTAAACTGAACTCCATAAACTCCTAGTGAGGGCCCTAACCCACGCAAACTGTCTGTCCGTAAGATATGAACAGCGTGTAAGGGCTTTACAAATTACTTCACAGCCTCAGTACCCAACTTACACATGGATCTCAGAACGAGAAAGGGCCAAGACCAGAGAAACACACGCCCTGTTTTAGTTTGAGTGACCTAAAACATCCATCATAGCAATGATTTATAATGCATAATATGTACTGTGCGGGCAGTGATAGAAATATCTGCAAGGACCAAATATAGTAGAAAGTGCATATCTCTCTTCTGGTGATGTGATGTCTGAGCTGAGTGTTGGTGAGAGTGGCCAAGAGTTTAATAGGGAAGATGGTCTAACCTGAGATAGTAAGAGGTTTTTAAAGTAGCTTCGTTTGGGGAACTTAAAGTGCAAGTGTTGTACAGACAAAGTATTAGGCAAATACTAGATAAGTATTTCAGGTTAGTACGAGTATGTTATGCCATTCTAAAAGAGTGAACTGATTGTCTTTCTAAGTTAAGCCAGAGAAGCGGTCTGAAGGGAGGCATGAGAACACGCCCACTTGGAACTGGCCAGATTAAAAATCTTTTCAATTGGAATCCCTTGTTAATAAACCATATTGTTTACGCTATTAATTTTAAAAAGTGAAAAAATTCCTTTAAAATGTAAATAAACCTCTATTTAAAAAAATTTAAGTAATCACATTTACCAAGATATTTCAGGATTTGCAAAATTAAACCTTTTACCATTAATGCTGGTAGGTCTTGGTTCTGTTTTTGGTTCGCAGTTCTAAATTGTTGCCACAATTGGTATACCCTAAGGACTGGAGCAACCCTCCTTTCCACCTGTCTTCATTGTTATATGTTATTTGTTATAGAGAGAAAAGTCAGTAGCACTTGTCCAGACCCTACTTTTTAAAAAAATATTTATTTATGCATACAAGAACTGGGGTATAGGCCAGAGGTGTGGGAGGTGAGAGGATTCACCAGAGACAGAGTGGGGAGCAGAACAGGTAAATCTACTGAAATACACTTCTGAGGGGAGCAATAGGAGAGACAGGAGAGGTCTGCTGCGCCATGAGGGTCAGCTCCTTGGCGTGGGATCCAGTTCATACTGCAGTGACTGTAGATAGTTTCATAGTGCTATACTTTAACCCCTTGTGCCACAGGATGCCCCCCAAAACCCTACTTTTTGCCCCATCTTTCTTTTCATTGAACCCTTATCTTGAATGAACCCTATCATTCATATCCTGTCCTTTGGTACTAGAGCAACTGACCAGTAGTAGAGAAATTTATAGAACTACATGCATTCTATTACTAAGTTCCTATCACCTCAGCACCACCACCAATCCTTTTACATTTTTTGAAAGCACCAAATCCAAGTCACTAAACCATCAGGGAGCTAACTGACATTTTTTTAAATTGGTCTTTCACTCTAGGAATCCTTTCAAAACTTCACCAGTTTTCTTAAACCCTAATACTCCCTAGTACTTCTCTTAAAGTACATGAATTTATAGCACAGAGAAATTTGAAATCACAAGGAACAATATGAGTGAAACATACCTGGTTAAGCAAAGAAGAGAGTGTTAAGGGATAAAGTCTGAGAAGGCAAATCAAGGCATTGTTGAAATGGCAAACACTAAAGGAATTTAAGCAGAAAACAAGCTATGATCTGTGGGTAATTTTGATTTTTAAAGAACTATGGTTGCTTTGTGGGAAATGGACTATGAAAGCAGAGACCAATTATAAGCCAATTGCAACAGTACAGGTGAATAACAGGTTGGGGTAAGGTTTTAACTGTAGAGGTCATGAAAAATAGCCAGATTCAGGTATAATTTGAAATAGAGTCAACAGACGTGGTGGTGATTTGACAGACGCTTGATAGAGGGATCAAGGATGCCCGCTAGATTTGAGGCTTGAGCAAAACGGGGTCCTCTCACTGAAACAGTAAATTTGACATGCTTATGAGACATTGAAGTAGAGATGTTGAGTACAAGTTCATTACTAAAGTTCAGAAGTTAGAACTGGGGGCAGAATTTAACCAGAGTTGATGTCAACAATATTGGGAGGCAGGATTAGGCTAGTGGTTAAGAGTTTAGACCTGTCAGGAGGCAGAACTGAATTGTCTCTACCCCTCCAGTTGCTCTCTTTAATCTTCAGTACATTATTGGACATCTCTGAACCTTACTTTGGAGAATTCTATTCTCACTTACAGTATTTTTGCATCAACTGAAATAATGTATTTAATGTGCTGTTAAGTGCTCACAAAATAAGAGCTTTTTAAAAGGGTAATAAGTCACCTTGTATTGTCTGTGTAAAACTTACCTGTTGGATTTATAACTTTTTCATTGACTATATTAATTGTGCCTGTATGTACATAGCCAGTATCAAAGAAAATTGGCTTGCTTTTTTTCTCAGAAATTTTTTCCATATTCTAATGATTTTTTTTTTTCAGTCAATTTCATGATCAGTATCAGAGTGCTTCTGAATTGTGGGGTCTTTTATTCATGGACTAACCTTTATAACTAGTGTCTCAGTAGCACTAATTTCATTAACATTTTGGGAGCTATCTTAGAATCAGGTTAGGTTATAGTGCTATTTAAGGAAACCAGTATAACAACTTCTCTCTGGCCCCAAATTGGCCAAGGGATGACCCACATACAATGTTTTTTTAAATGACTTGATCTTAAGGTAGTGCCTGTGTTATTGTTTTCTTTGCTATGATGATTACTAGGTATGGTGATTACAGTAGAGTGTAAACAACAACAAGACAAGGCCCTTGAAAAAGAAAATAGGCAAGTTAATATTCCCTTGGTGCCAAACGAATCATTATTGATAATTCAGTACTCCCATTATCCCCATGTACTTGTAGGTAAACAAATATTAGTGCACATTTATTAAATATCTACTCATGCAGCAAAACTCCATAAATATTTATATGCTCACCAAATGGTTATGAATGAAGTACCAACAGAAAGAAAATTAAAAAGCAAATGTTTTTTTAGTGGGCAGTGATTTTCAAATAAATAGAAATTAAAATAGCACTGGATTTTTCTAAGGGCAAACAAGGCCCTCAAAGGGCATGCCGCTAAAAATTCTTGCATATCTGTAATTAAAACACTGACTCTAAAATGATATGGAAATAAATTGTTTTTTGCCATTTTGTTTATAAAATTTGCTTTTCTCTTTTTTATTGAGTAGCATTGGTTTCCAACACTGTATATTATTCAGAGGCACAGGAGCAAGTCTTCAGGTGCATGTCACCAACTACACCTACCACCAAGGTACCCACCGTCCTCCATTATAGTCCATTGTGCCCACTCACCACTTTGTTTTCTTTTCTCCTCCCCATTGCTGCCTCAATACCACAGTTTTATTTCTAGAATTAGTAATCGATTTATTTTTTTCTGCTAGGTTTATTTTGGTTTTCTATATTCAATATATAAGTCACATCATCTGGTATTTTTCTTTCTTCTGATTTATTTTGCGTAGCATGATCCCCTCCATCTGCATCTGTGTTGTCATAGATGGCAAGAGTTTATCCTTTTTTCAGCTGAGTAATATTCCATTGTGCCTATATACCACATCTTCCTGATCTACTCATCTGTCTTTGGGTACTTAGGTTGTTTTCATAACTCAGCTATTGTAAATAATACTGCAATTAACATGGGAGTGCATATATCCATACAAATTGATGTTTTGGATTCTTTTGATAAATATCTAGGAATGGAATTTGCTGGATCTATTGATAAGTCTATTTTTTAATATTTTGGGAACCGTCTATTCAATTCTTTATGGGAGCAGAACAAATCTGCATTCCCACAGTGTTCAGGTGTTTCCTTTTTTCCATATCCTTGCAACATGCTGTTTCTGGTCTTTTTGATGTGGACTGTTCTCACAAGTGTGAGATGGCATCTCATTGTGATTTTGAGTTGCTTCCCCTAATGATAAGTGATGAGCATTTTTTTCATGTGGGGGGAAGAAGTAAAGTTCTTCTCAAACAGAAATTGAGAGTATTTGCTAACACTAGACCTTCCCTATAGGAAATGTTGAAAGGGGCTCTCTTTGGGAAATCCATAGAAAACTGAACAAGAAACTTAGGTATGAGCAGAAACTATAAATAAAGTGGCAGTAACAAACTTTCCTCTATCATTAATCACCCTACAATGTAAATGAACTGAATTAATTCATCAAAAGACACAGGGGGCCAGTTGGATCAGAAAATAAAGCCAACTTTTTCCTGTCTCTGGAAGACTCATCTGAATTCC